CATTAAGGATCTTGGCTAAAATATTGAAGTCACAGAATATAGAATAAAGGAGGTTGTCAAGAAGGGACTGATTGTCAGAGGTAACAGAGGAGCATTAGAGGACAGGGACCCCAAAGCCTTGATGAGATTAAAGAGCAGGTCCTCAAGAATGAGAAACAAAGAAGTATGGGAGATTGTACTTGAAAGTCTGGATATGTTAAGTAAATACAGGTTGAGCAATGTCTTATTGTGACAAGCTATCACTATCAGTATTTGGGAATGTTGTCTTGGGTTAAATGAAAACCTTTGGCTATGAACAAGTGAAGTCAGCCAACCTATATGTACTTAACCCATGATCTGTAGATGTTTTAACCAACATCTACAGATGGTTTATGGGTAATTTAATCAGTAACATGCAATAAATTTCCTTTGAAGTACATCTGGAAAGGCCTAAGCAAAATACATTTGGCATTGTACTAACCTAATAGATTGGAAAACATATTAAGCCAAAATCCAAATATATCAGAGTTAACTTATAACTAGAAACCATCAAGTTTTGGTGATAGTGGTGGTGGTGGTGATGGTTTTTCTCTTTTAATTTTTAATCTTACATTCCCAAGATTTATGATTTTTTAGTTCTTTTTTATCTTTACCAATTAATTACCAATATAATTGATAAATTCTCATGTTTTATTTTCCTCTGAAGACAAAAGGAAAGGATAAATAAGTCTCGTGTACTAGCCTCATTGCTTGTATTGAAATTGTCAGTTTATAAATCTGTCTTTCTAACCCGTAGGCCATAGGATTCTTGGTTGTGAACATTGATTCTTCCTCTTGGTATCCAGGGGACCTAGAAGTGCACGTGCCAAACAATAAATAGTCACTCCATTGATGTCTTTGAGTACGAATGAAAGTACTCTAAAATGTGTTCTTGCTCTATTAGAAAATATAAATCATATTAATTCAAAAGCTATTTTTTGGTCATGTATATCTTAGTAATAACTTAGGATTCTTAGATGTTCATTTGTCAAGTACAGTGGTGATGAAGTAAATGCTAGCTGCCTGGTCCCTGCAAAAACAAGAGTGACTGAAAATTTCAAAAGAAGTAGAATATTTCCTGACTTGAAGTATAATTTACATTTTCCATGTTAGTGATAACTTCGCTTTTTTAACAAGACTCTGACTTGAAAATTGTGTAGAGTCATATTTTGCATTGCTAGTTTTTTTTTTAAAAATTGTGTGAATCCCATTTTCTTAATCTTACATCTTCTTTTTAGCATTCATATTCATTTAACGTGTAACATGTTAGCTCTTACTAGACCTATGATATTTTTACCTCCTGTTGCATTGTAATTGCACTAGCTGCTAAAGATTTCATGGTCAAAGTTCTTGGCAATATTGAAGAATATAGCTTTGAAAACTATGTATACAAAATTCTGCAGGTATTGATTCTTCTCATTATATAAAATAGCATTAATTTTTTTTTTTTTTTTACTTTAAATTTAATTTTTAAAGTTTTTTAAAGGGCGGAAAGGCAATTTTTTTTGCTTGTTTTGCCTTTTTTTTTACTTTTACTTGCCCGTTGTTTTTAGTTATTTTTTAGGAAGGCCCTTTTCTTCACTTTCGGTTTTTTTTTTTTTTTGTGACAGTCTCACTATGTCACCCTGGGTAGAGTGCTATGGCGTCACAGCTTACAGCAACCTCAGACTCTTGGGCTTAAGTGATTGATTCTCTTCCCTCAGCTTCCCAAGTAACTGGGACTACAGACACCCGCGACACGTAGCTGTTTTTTGCTTTTAGTTGTCATTGCTGTTTGGCAGGCCCAGGCTGGATTCAAACCCGCCAGTTCTGGTGCCCTAGCTGCTGAGCTACAGGCGCCGAGCCAACTTCAGTTTTTCTTATGTTTGAATTTTTAAAAATTCTTTTCTTGTATGTGTTCATCAGCTCATTATTGATGATTGTGCTTTTTAACATGGAGGACTACTTTCTATTATCTTATAATCGATTAGCAAAAGCCCAGTATTGAAAGTAGAACAATTGAAGTTCTCTGTGTTCAGCAGTTTTCAGAACTGGTTTAGTAGAAAATGACCTTAAAAGGTTTGGTTGTAATTTTGTAAGAAAAATATTTGTATTGAAGTAGTATGCAGCTGAGGTCCTCTAGTGTCACAGCTGAATATAGCATCAAATTTTAAAATGCTATGAAGAGTGTGTGTGTGTGTATGAGAGAGAGACACTGAGTAAGAACAAGACGTGTTACTTTAAGGTTGACTTACAGTCAAATGAGCTCATAAAACTAGGTTTATATTTTTTTGATCTCGAGGGAGAAGGGTCTGCCCTTTTCATGTACACATATTTCAGTGTCATTGTGCTTTTACTTAAAGCCCTTATCTCTGTAATTACCGATAGGTTACAAAGGAAATTTGTTTAAGTCTGGGATTTTGCCATGTATACAATGGATTGGGCTTACTTTTAAGATGAAGACTGTCTTTGTCACAAATTTTGCTTGTTTTATACATTCCCTACTTGCTTAAGACTGACTGAAAAGGCACTGTAATGTGGGAGAAATTATTTGATAAAGAGGAATGGTTCATAGGTCAGTTTAAATAGCATTATTTCTGAATAGTAACCTTCATTGCTTCTATTTTACATCATGAGGAATGTCAACTTACTGCTTTATTTAAAATATGACCAACAATTAGAAATTGGATTATCAGCTATTTGAGGGGGAAAAAATGTTTGAGAAAAACAGAGCCTGGAAATAAGGGCATAGAGAGAGGATTCACCACAGAAGAAATGAAAATAACACTCCTTTTGTTCCCAGAATTAAAAGCATTCTAACTGTCCTCTCTCTGTGAATCTATGAAAGCCAAAGGCCTTGCAGTGGCCTAAATGCCGTTAGTGATCTAATTCCGTGCCACCTCTCTGAGCTTGTCTCCCACCACTTCATCCTTTGCTTGTTCTACTATATGTGCTGTGGCCTTGGTGCAATTTATTAAGCTGCTGAGCCTTCAGGACTTGTTCACTGTGCCCTCTGCCTGAATCAGGCATTTTTTAGAGAGCTGCGTATCTTTCTCACTTTCTTAGGATTTCTACGTAAGTGTCTTCTTTTCAGTGAGGTCTGCCATACTCACACTATATATCGTCCCTGCTAAATTTTTTCACTGGCGTTTCATCACTCTATGTACTTGTTTGTTTAGCCTTCAGGAAGAGAGTGCAGGTTTCTTTTATCCAACTGATGAAATTTGATAATGTAAAAATAATATAACTAATCAAATAAGGAATTTGGGAAGAAAAACAGAAAAGCAGTAGAAATAAGTTAACTATATCTTATATAGTGAAGTTAATTATATTAAATAAAAGTCTAACTATGAGAAAAACTGAAAACAAAAGCTGCTAAGGAAAATTACCTCTGGTACATCAGACTTGAGTGAGAGGGAGGAGGGAGAGTTTAATTTTTATCGACAGTTATTCCTAATGGCTTCAATTTAGGGGAGGGAATTAGGTTCTAAGAATTCTTTTTTTTTTTAATATTCAACCCATTTTTTTAAAAGTCAGGTTTATTGAGGTATAATTTATGTACCTTAAAATTTACCCTTTTTAGTATACAGTTCAATGAGTTAGTTAAACAAAATTCTATAAAATAAGAATAAAAAAGTTCCATCTCCCACAACATTTTCTCATACTTGTATAGTCTACCTCATGCCCCTACCCAAGCCCATAAAGATCTATTATTTCACTTTTTTACTTTTAACCTGTTTGTTTGTTTGTTTGTTTTTGAGACAGTCTCACTGTATCACCCTCAGTAGAGTGCTGTGGCATCGCAGCTCACAGCAACCTCAAACTCTTGGGTTTAAGTGATTCTCTTGCCTCAGCCTCCCAAGTAGCAGTGACTACAGGTGCCCGCCACAATGCCCAGCTGTTTTTGTTGTTGTTGTTGTAGTTGCCATTGTTGTTTGGCAGGCCCAGGCTGGGTTCAAACCCCCCAGCCCTGGTGTATGTGGCTGGCGCTCTAGCCACTAAGCTACAGGCACTGAGCCTAACCTGTCTTTTGTTTAATGTGAGTTTCTCATAAACTGAGTTTAGTTGTTTTAACTCTTCAAATCTGATGGTCCCTATCTTTTAACTGGTCAGTTTAGACCATTTACATTTTTTAAAATTATTGATATATCTGGGTAAAAATCCATTAGTTGTTTTCTCTTTCTTTGCTCTCTGTTCTTTTTTCCTTTTGCTCTCCATGCCTGTAATTATTTTTATGATTTCATTTCATCCCTACTTTGGCCTATTATTTATAGCTCTTTAAAAAATTACCATTAATGCTCACCTGAATTTAGTGGTGGATTCCATTTTTAAACATAAAAATATGCATAGAAAAGAAATCTGTACCAAAATATTAATATTGGTAATTGGATTTAAATTATTTTCTCCTACTTTGTATATTATTTTTAACTTTCTACATGAACAATTTTTGATTTAAAATAATTATGGGAACAGATGGTAAGAGAGACAGGTGAAGGGAAAAAGAAACAGGTGTGGTGGAGAATGGCTTTGGATAGGGTAAGCACTAAAGAAAATGTTTGATAAATAATAAATTGCCAGAGGTTATTCTACGGATTGGTGTGGAAAATAAGGTATTGTCTATATACTATAAAACATATTATAGCTAATTTTTAAAGGTTTAAGTTGAGTCTCAGAATAGATGGTTTTTACTGACTTAGTTCTCCTATTTATCTGAAACTTTCCTAATAATTTTGCAAAGCCAAACCTGACATAGGTTAGTTGCGCTTTAATATATATGAGACACAACACCAAAGCTAAAGTTCCTTCCTGGAAAGAAGAATTCCACGAATTGGTTATGATCAGAAAAATTAAAATATACATAATTGGATATTTTGGAAAATGTACAGAATATATTTTTTCTGAAAGAAGGAAGTGCAATAAAAATATATATTTGAATATTTTACTCTTTAAAACATTCTATATATGCTTTGTAATTGATCTTTGACTTTTTGTTTTCCTCGTAGTTATTCAAAAGTTTTGTGCATAGCATTCGAGGTACTTCAAGGCTTGCAGTATATGAACAAACATGGTATAGTACACCGGGCACTGTCTCTTCATAATATCCTGTTGGACCGAAAGGTAATTGTCAAATAATATAATAGTGTTTTCAACTGGAAGGTACTGAAATGAGGCCTACTCAGAGGAAACATGGAATATGTTTTAAGAATATTCTTAATGAAAAGACTATTTGAAAGTGATAGAAATATCGTTGTTGAAAAAAACAGTCTTTTAAATTATTTGAATCTATGTATCTTTCACAGAGATTATTTTTTCCTTAAACCCCATTTTCTAACTTTATGCTTTCTTTCTTTTTTTTTTTACTTTTTTTCCTAAGATTCTAACATGATATGCATTGTGGTTTCCAACCTACCCCTATTCTGAATTTGCTTTCATTTTTAGAAAGCTGCTCTACTTAAATAGAAGGGTATTCTCATAAGTGCAATTCAATTGTCTTTTCTCCTCTTTATTGTTCTTCTTCTTTCTCTGATCATTTATCTTATTTACCAGCTATTCATACCTAGCTCTCTTTTCTATTGGAGTGCTGCTTCTCTATTTGGAAATCTTATAAGGATTAACAATAAGAAACTAGTAAACCCTTCTAAGAGAATCATGGATGGCAAGGTGTCATTTTCAGAAATAATCAGAAATTCATTATTTCACATAAGCATATAAAAATAGCTTTGGGGAAATTTCTTCTTAGGAATAATTTTCTATTTTAGTAGGATTTTTCTTGTTCTCTGATCCTTTCCCCAAACTTCAGTACAATTACCTTATGATATTAAAAAAATTACAAAAGAGATGATGGTGCTCATTAATTTTAGATTGATGATGGTATAGAATTATTGCCATAACTAATCTAAACTGTATTTTAAAATATAAATGTTTTATACTTATGAGAAATATTTTTAAGAAAAAGGTAAACCAATTTAAAAATCAACTTAGTTTTGATAAAAGCCCTAACAAACATCTTCCCTCTCAGCCCAGATGAATTCAATGCTTAATTCTATCAGATGTGCAAAGAACTGGCACCTATCCAGCTGTAACTGTCCTATAACATCAAGAAGAAAGAAATGCTCCCTAATTCATTCTACGAAGCCGGTATCACCCTGATACCAAAGTCCAGAAAGGACACAACAAAAAAGAAAAAACTACAGACCCTATGAATGGCTGGGTGCGGTGGCTCACACCTGTAATTCTAGCACTCTGGGA